GTTCTGCGTAGAAAGTCAGAACGTCCGTTCCAGGTCTGGAACGGACGGTCCAGGCGTCAAGAACGTCCGTTCTACGTTATAAAACGGACCGTCCGTTCTGCGTAGAATGTCAGAACGTCCGTTCCAGGCCTAGAACGGACGGTCCGACTTACGGGCAGTTTTCGGTTTTCGCGTTTTAAGGGTTTTGGGCAATCCTAATTAATGTGTGAGCCGCCAAAAACCCTAGTGTAAGAACCTCAGACGTCCTAGACTCTAATGAGAGCTTAGAGAAGCTTGATTTTGAGTTCTAGAGATTGGAATATCGATTCCAAGTCAAGGACATCGGTTTTCTCTTCGGCCCTGGATCGATTGATACTTCCAGATCTTGAAAGAACGAGGTAAGTATTCGAATCCCACGACGATATACACGATTGTTCGGGTTATTGCACAATTGGTTTTGTGTGACGTTTGGCTAGGTTTAGATCTTTCCTTCCGCTGCGTGAAACCTAGAAACCAAACCCTAGATCGATGAGATCGCATGCTAGGAACCCGAAGGGAACCCAACAAAAACATGACTGAGTGAAGCCTGGGGGATTCTGAGGGATTCTGGGAGCGGTCTGCTGCTGCGCATTCAATGCTCCGCTTGGGTTTCCGTAGGACAAACCAGGATGGTTCCTAGGCGCGCTCGGGTTGTAGAGGTGTGAAGGATTCTGGTATTGATTCCTTCCTATGTAGTTGACGTCCTCAACCGATTCTTCTTCTGATGTGGCCTGATTAACCAGAAACATTCCAGGCTGGACTTTGTGCGGGATAGATGTATTCAGTTAGAAGAAAGCCGGTTAAAGCTGTCGCAACTGGAGCAGGAGCTCCAGAGGGCTAGGCAGCAGGTGAGGTGAATCTTTTTTATTTTCTGTTCGATGTTTGTTAAGTTTTATCTCTTTCGTAGTTACTCAACGATTCTTGGTTTCAGGGATTATACGTACGTAGCTCATCAGACACGAGCTTTCTCGGACCATCTGGCACTATGAACACAGGTTCGTGATTTCACATTTCGGGATCTCTCTTTATGCCCACTGGCCCTAATAAGCTGTTTCCAATGACCCATTATTTGCAGGGATTGCTGCTTTTGAGATGGAACATGCCCACTGGTTAGAAGAACAGAACAGGCGAGTTAGTGAGATTAGAACCGCACTTCAAGCTCATATAAGCGACATAGAGCTCCGTATGTTGGTGGATAGCTGCCTGAACCATTACGGAAATCTCTTCCGAATGAAAGCTGATGCTGCAAAAGCCGATGTCTTTTACTTGATATCGGGTATGTGGAGAACGTCAACGGAACGCTTCTTTCAGTGGATTGGAGGCTTCCGCCCGTCTGAACTGTTGAACGTAATTGCCCTTCACTTAAAGACTTTCATCTATGTTTTTTTTAAAAAATCTTTTTCAGTTTCAACGATTAAGAATGGTGGTTTCTGTGAAACAGGTTGTGATGCCTTATCTCGAGCCCTTGACAGATCAGCAAATCTTGGAGGTGCGTAACCTACAACAGTCGTCTCAGCAAGCGGAGGATGCCCTCTCTCAAGGCATTGATAAGCTTCAGCAGGGTTTGGCTGAAAGCATAGTTCTTGAACCGGCTGATTCTGCAAATTATGGAGCTCATATGGCTGCAGCCATGGAAAGTCTTCAAGGTTTAGAAGGTTTCGTGAATCAGGTAAAACCCTAAAAGCATCATATTCTTCATAACCAGAAGAGAAAACACGAAGACATGTATGTTTTCTGTGTCTCAGTTTCTTAATCAGCCTCAGAAAACAAGCAAAGATCTAGAATCAATGAAGACCTAGAAATAGGCTCACCAGTCCCCGGCAACGGCGCCAAAAACTTGTTACGTGTGTACCGAGTCTAAAATCTATTACCCGATTCATAACTCACCGCAAGGATACGGATCGTCGTAACACGGGGTCGACCACAAGGACCGGTTGCTAAATCAAAATCTAGATCAAAAATAGATCAAAGCAAGCAAGCGAAAGTGATGGTGGAAGTATGTGGAATCTAAACTAACTAAAATAAGAAAGCAAATAAAAACGTGTAACTATCAAGCAAAGATGACCGTGGGTGTCGGGACCGTATTCGCGTGTATGGGTATATGCTAAGCATGCGAGAATCACGATATTGAATTTGTATTCGGGAATCGTCAAGTAACAAAGATAGAGGAATCACCTCCCGGCATATAACTCACTATCTAAAGTTCTCTAAATCCATATCCCTATGTGATTTATTAAACTAGATGCATGAAGAACACTATCATCAATCCTAGATCGATCAAACCATATTCCTATGTGAATAATACAATCTATTCTATCGATTTCAATCCGAAACCAAACCCATATTCCTATGTAGTTCAGAATCTGTAATAATTGGCCAAGGGGTCAGCAAACACCAATCCAATAAAGCACAAATCGATAAAACCAAACAAATCCAAATCGCAACCAAGTTAGGGTTCAAACATACCCAAAACACAAACGAATCCCTAACCCACAGCCGTGGATCTACTCACGGTTCATAGAAAAACATTGAATAAAACCAGAAACAGAAAGGAAAGAGGGAGAAGAAAGGCTCATGTCGACAGCAAAGCGATCTTCACGTTCCAGCTCTCCTTCTTCTTCCCGAAATCCCGTTTTACTCCTTTTTCTCTCCCCAAAGCTCTCCAAAGTCTGTATAAAGTCTGTCTCATCCTCTTGGACGTCTGTAGGCTCTTTTTATAAACCCTAGGAGGCGGCCCCGAAGTCCTATTCCCATCAAAACTTTGAAAATTCGAATCTGGGCTTTTTCTGGGTTTTGACTCGGACCGAGTCAGTACTCTGACTCGACCGAGTCAAAACGACCAGCCCAATCTTCTGACTCGGGCTTTCTGACTCGGACATGTTGACTCGGGGTAATCTGACTCGGACATTCTGACTCGGTCTCCTCCTAACGGCATTCTGACTCGGGGTATCTGACTCGGGGTGTCTGACTCCAGCCGAATCAAGAAGGAAGCTCTTGACGTATTTCATCCCTTTAGCTCCAGATTGCTCCCGTTTTGGTCCAAATCGCGTTCGAGACCTGTAATCCTATAAAAACACAACCAAACCGAGTTTTGTAGCCTAACACGCCTATAATACCTACAAATGAATATGATCCTCGTCTAAATCCTATAGAAACGTCCAGGAAATATAGAGAGAATTAGGAGTTATCACATACCCCACAAGTGATGGCGGTTTACGTCCGTAGACCACATGAAACGGTGTTGTCCGAAGGGAAGAGTAGTACGACGTGTTGAACCAGAACTCTGCCCATGGTAAGTACTTAGCCCATATCCGAGGATGCCCATCCGCAAAACAACGCAAATATGTCTCCAGACAACGGTTGACAACTTCCGATTGCCCATCCGTTTGCGGGTGGAAAGCGGTGCTGAATTTAAGCTGAGTTCCTGCCAAACGAAACAGCTCCTTCCAGAAATGACTGAGAAAAATTCTATCGCGGTCAGAAACGATAGAACGGGGAAACCCATGCAGCCTCACTACTTCTCTTAGAAACACCTTTGCTACCTGTACTGCTGTAAAAGGGTGTCGCAGTCCAATAAAGTGACAGTATTTGCTCAAACGGTCAACAACCACGAAGATGGTGTCAATCCCCAAAGATTTAGGCAAACCCTCAATGAAGTCCATAGCGATATCGTCCCAAACACGCTCGGGAATGGGAAGCGGTTGAAGCAGACCCGCCGGTGACAGAGTAGAGTACTTGTATTTTTGGCAAACCAAGCATTGAGCCACAAACTTCTGAACCGCAGCCTTCATACCGTCCCAATAAAAGACTGATTGAATACGCTTGAGAGTCCGGAGCAGCCCGGAATGTCTCTCCACAGGACTATCATGGAATTCCCGGAGTATCAATGGTATAAATGCTGAAGTAGCTGGCAAGACAAAGCGATCGTTGAAAAGTAGAGTACCTTGCCGAAGATGATAGCCCCGCGGAGCATCCTGCTGGAGACGAAGTTTAGCCATAATTCCCGCTAACTTCTGATCCGCTTCCACCTCTTTCTGGATCTGGATCAATGTAAGTGGTGTCGGCATTGTGAGGTTAGCCAAAACCACCAAGGAAGAAAAAGAAAAAACGTGAGCGGTGATTGGATTGATCTATTCAAGAAATAATTCACCCGGCTGTCGGTATGCGAGATAAGCCATCAGCCGCCTTGTTCTGAATGCCTGGCTTGTAAAGGATATCAAAATCGTAACCGAGCAACTTTGATAACCATTTTTTATACTCCATGTTGACAGCACGTTGCTCCAACAGATATTTCAATGCTTTCTGATCAGTGTGTACCACAAAGCGACGACCCATAAGATAATGTCTCCATCTTTGGATGGCCAGCACTATTGCCATTAATTCCCTCTCATAAACCGGCTTCAGCTGATCCCGATTCGATAGCCCATGACTATAATACGCAATAGGTCTGCCCTTCTGCATTAATACAGCCCCCACCCCAAATCCCGACGCATCAGCCTCGACGACGAATGTGTCAGTAAAATCTGGAAGACTCAGAACAGGAGCTTCCAGCATGGCTGCCTTAAGAGTATCGAACGCCAATTCAGCCTTTGGTGACCAAACAAAACCTTCTTTCTTCAATAATTCTGTCAGAGGCCTAGCCAACAGCCCGTAGTTCCGCACAAAACGCCGGTAATACCCGGTCAATCCCAGAAACCCCCGTAACTCCTTGACCGACTTCGGGTAAGGCCAATTCTTCATGGCTATCGTCTTGGTAGGGTCCGTCTGTACCCCTTGTCTAGAAATAATGTGTCCCAGATACTCAATGTGGTCCTTTCCAAAAACACACTTCTTCTCATTTGCGAACATCCTGTGTCTGTCTAGGACGGTCAATACAGTCCTCAAGTGATCTTGATGCTCTCCCCATGAACGACTATATACCAGTATGTCATCAAAGAAAACCAATACGAACCGACGCAAAAATGGACGGAAAATCTCATTCATCATTGCCTGGAACGTCGCCGGGGCGTTGGTTAGGCCGAATGGCATTACGAGGAATTCGTAATGGCCGTCATGCGTTCTGAAAGCAGTCTTGTGAACGTCTGTCGGCTTCATCCATATTTGGTGATACCCTGAACGTAGATCGAGCTTCGAAAAAATCACAGCCCCGAATAATTCGTCCAAGAGCTGGTCTATCATTGGTATAGGAAATTTATCCGGAACAGTTACCCGATTGAGTGCCCTGTAGTCGACACAGAAGCGCCAACTGCCATCTTTCTTTTTGACCAGCAAAACCGGGCTGGAAAACGGGCTCGTGCTCGGTTGTATGATACCCGCCTGTAACATCTCCCTGACTAATCGCTCAATCTCCTCCTTATGTGCATGTGGGTATCTGAACGGCCTCACACTGAGAGGCCCCGCATCCTGGCGCAACACAATTTCATGTTCCCGACCCCTGGTAGGAGGAAGACCCGTCGGTTCAGC